TTAATTAAAATTTGCATGGAATTGGATGATTGCACCGTTTTGATGACAAAGTTCAGCAACCATAAGTATACCTATTCTAGATTTATTCCCTGCCAACATTGTACAAGTTTACCCTGCTACAAGAGGACAGTCAAACAGAACTTTCGAGTATACTATCTATAACATGTGGGAACAATTTCACAAACTGGCATTTGCTTTCATTTCCCTTAATCAAAGATTGTTTCCTTCATTAATTTTGTTTGCTGAAATCAATGGCTTTCAATCCTAGATTCTTGACCGGATTCAAAGATTGTACCATCGTCGTTTTTCCTCGACGCTCTTCACTCGAACTGCGTAGCTTCAGCTTGTGACGAAACCTCCCGATACATTGACTATAGTAAGACTGATTGGGACAAACCGCAGAAGCTTACCATTTTCCAAAATGATAGCAGCATCCAGGGAAGAATCACTTTGTGCACGAAAAAAACAAAGTTTTCCACTAAAAAACACAATTACATGCGATTTTGAGGGTGGATTGACACGCATGGTACCTGAGAAAATTGAACAGAACAATAAATAAGTATGTAATATGTAATATGAAATATGTAATATAGTTTATTTCTGGCCGCTTGCAGCCCTGAGGCGTCAACGATCGTACATTCTATCTGAGATAGCTAACAGGAGTTGTTGCTTCAACGTATCGACGCGAGTTGTGTGTTTCAGTTGATGGCAAAAAATAATACCCTGTTACTAGACGTATCAGGATCGACCGAAAAGTACTGCTACCTTACATTTAAGCGAAAGATGAGGATTGTGGCAGCCTCCTTATCCCCCTCCTCACAAATCTTTTTTGTAAAAACATGACCGATTGTTTTTTTTTTGTCTTTCACTTTCAGTCCGAGCAAACCATGAAAAGTGCTATCCAGTCTACCTTCAAGTTAAAAGAAGTTAGCGGTATTTCGTCTCTTAAAATCATCCAAGGTTTTTTTTTTGTTTTTTTGAAAAGTAACACAATTCTTTGTAGTATGTCATATTCAGGATAAATATATCAAAAAATTTTTGTTAAACTAAGTTCTGAACTCACTGTTTTTCAGGGATATAAATGTAGTGAAATCCTGAAGATAAGTCTTGAAGCCTAGCTGTTGTAAACAAAGAAGTTCATGCAAGCATAATGTTAATCAAAAAACACTCATTTAGCTTAAGAAACGTGAGTGCAAGTGAATTACTTTCACAAAATAAAGAGAAAAGGGGCCTTCTGAAACATAATCCATCAACTTACCAAGCAATACAGTAAAGGCATATATACATGCTGGTTAAAGTACCGAGGCAACCAATTCTGGCTCCATTTGATTCGTCTTATATCTGGCTTCTGTTGAGAATTGGAAAAGATCCATTTAACGATGGAAGCCTTAACGCTATCATGGCCTTACATTCGTGTTTTAAAACAACAAAATTTTCCAGTCCATCTTGGAATTTGAAAGCGCAAGCCCATTGCCATTGCCCCAGCCACTCCCAACTTAATCGAGTTATTGAAGGTAATTAACGTCGCTTATCTCTCCAAGTTACGCTTTGTCAAAATTTATCAGATATTTCTCAATCTGTGGACTTTAAAATAACAGAAACTTGTCGTCCTCGCAATCGGTTGTTATTGAAAACCATGCATTAATCTCGTCACAAGCAACTGCAACAATGTCGTGACCAGTCACAAGTTAAGTGCAGAGAAACTTCATCTTGGAACTCTCGCTTCCTCGAAACGCACCATAATGTACGCTCATCTGAAATCGGTTTCCTTTTGCAGTCGAACGCTGCAGCTCTTACCCCTTCCGACAGTTCAACCAAATATTCTTTTCTTGAAATGGCGAAGAAATCAGATTTCCTTTGGTAAGAAATTACTCTTCCTTCCGAGAAAACGAGCCAAAACGGGAAAAAAGTTAATGCTAATCGAAAAAGAAGTACTTCTTGTGATTTAATCACTCTGTAAATTTAAAAAACTAGAAGTAACATAAACCAGGACCCTAAAAATAAAACCTGAACAAAGCACATGATAGTGTTAATAATAAATACTTACTTTTTTTGCAGTGCTGATGTCGGAAACGACCCCATCGATGTTGGTGAACGGATGATGACCAAATACATGCTGAGATAGAGGAATTGATATCGTTAAAATGATTATAAATATAATAAAGAATACTTTTTATGATAAGTTAACTGTCTTATCTTGATCGGAAAGCTCGAGATCGCATAGCTCAGCTCGATGGGGGGTCTAAAAAGAAAAAAGAAAGACAAATGTATTGAGGCCTAAATTTAATTTCTAGTTAGTTAAAAGCATGCCTACAATGATTTCTTGGACTGTGTTTATGGAAGCATGTTTGGAGGTAAGGGCGGAACCAAGGAAACCATGCTTCTAGCCACATCTGGAGCCAAGTTTTGGGATTGTGTATAAATGCCTCTCTAGAATAACCTCCAAAACCTTTTTAAAAACCATGTTTGGTACCTTGCCTAGAAACAACAGTCTAAAATCCAATTTTGAAACCCTTTTGGAACTCTCCGGTTAGAACCAGTCTGAAAAAGACTTAACAAGTAGTCTGGAAACATGTCTGGAACACTGTTTAGACCATGGCTCGAACAATGCTGTACTCGAACTGTGGCTGCACAGGCCTGAGGTACCATGTTTGGAAACTTGCCTAACACCATTGTAGATCGCAAACGCCTTCTTTGTTTATTGTTCTTGTTCAAACAGTGCTAATTGTAGTAAAAACATTGCGTGCGTTTTCTTTCTTTCGTTGTAGCTTTCCTAGTGTACTTAGCTTAGTTTCTATTGTAATAGGTTTTCGTTCGCCGTTTTATTTGCAATTTTAACCGTGTCGTTTCGCCTTGTTTGTTTGTCTCCTCGAAACCAGTGTTGAAAATTATGTTAGAGTTGTTTCTCCTTATCAGTAAAAGAATCAGTCACCCACGGCAGTTATAACAATGTGTGTCTCAAACTGCGCTAGATTAAGTGGTTTTTTTTGACAGAATATTCACAGTCTCAGTCAAGGGTTCAACGATTTCAGCTGAACTCATATTGCAACCTACTTTTAGCAACTGACCAAAAGGACCTCTGATTTTAATGGTGGTGTCGCACTAAATAAAGTCCTGGTGACAACACCACCACACAACCCGAACAACTCTAGCTTGTTAAGAATTTCAAGGTTAAGCTCAAACTTCGAGCTAACCTTTAGAATTTTATTACCAACCTGATGTACCCAAACGAAGTATGACGCTCCATTTATATAGTCATGCATATGGCCAACTAGTCTCCACACAAAAGGATTATTTTGTCACTGCAAAATGACTGAAACATAACAAGAAAAGAAATTTCGGTTTAATTTCAAGAGTGAGCGTCGATATAGTTAAATGTTCCGCTTTGTCGAGACCCACATTCAAACCAGCTTGTAGCTGAACTGAGGTAAACTATTTCACGTACGTTTGCCAAGCATTTAGTAAATAGTTCTAGAGTTCTTTAAAAATATGCATTTTGCTGAAATTTGTTACGTCATAGTTTCGCAAATTTTTTTAAAATTCTCAGTCCAACAATGTGATTAAAGCTTTATACTGCAAGGCCAAGAAACGTTTAGAATATGACGTAAGATAGAGTAAAAATTAACGTATTTCTGTCAGAATTTTTACTTTTTTATCTTCCAGAGCGTCTTAGAGTAATTTATAAATGATCACTTGATAAGTAATCTGTCAACAAATAGTCGAAATTGCTGTTGCCGTTAGAGAAACTCTACTTTGAGAAAACGATGGAGAGCTACTTTGGTTTAGCTTGGCTTCAAAATAAATCCAGAGAAAATAGTAATTACTATTTTATTGTTAGTTGGGTCCCTGGTGAACGAACTTAATTTGTATTCAGTGACGGCCTATTATAGTCAATAAAAATTTAAAAGTCTCTCCCATGTTGTTTTCATTTGGTTTTTGTGTGTCGTTTCTGTCGGTTACAAAGATAAAAATACACGATTTCATTTACCTTGCATCGTGAATGTTTAAGATGGCCAATGTTGAGATTCCAGTGAAATAAACTATCACAAGGTAGTTGGAATCTTAATGTTTAATAGAACGAAGAACTTACAGTGCAAGCGAATCCTAGCACGAGGTAAGACTAACGTGATTGGCTAACAAGAGTCACACGACAACAAGCGATTGCGTGACAATAACGTTACAGCCAATAAGGCAGTGAACCATCCATGCAAAAATCCCGCGACACAAGCCAAGAAGAAATTTTGTGCGGTTAAGAATAACTATGAATTAAAAATTAAAAAATAATAATAAACCTTGTCTCTTTTGGTAAGACCACAAACAGTTCAAGGACAATCGATACCAATAAGATTTAGCCATTATTGATGACAATTCCATCCAAACTCAGGATTTAGTTACGTCGATTCCCTCAAAACTTTGGCCATATGTCCCACGTCTTTATCCCTCCATTTTAGATTCTTTTATACATTCAAAAAATGATAACGATAACAGTAACTTCCAATAACTTCACGATAAAAAATATATATTATCTTCGAAGTTTATTTCCTCAATAAAGATTATTATTATGAAAGATGTTGAGAAAGTATACTTGTAAATTCGTGTGATCTGAGGTTTAAGGTATCAGATTGGATTTATTTGATAAGGCTCAAAAGACTTATACGTTGTGAAGACTTTGATGCGACAGTTGATTCCTGTTTGTGGTGTTTACACTTGATAATTGAATTAAACCTAATTTGGTGTCTCTTAGAAGGTTGCTAAAGCCGCTGTCCGTTGCAGCACACAAGGTGATCAGCGGCACAATTAGCAAGAACATGACGGTTGAAGAGTACACAGACAGAGCTGAATAATGAAATGCTACGTCAGAGGGTCTGCGGTTAACAACGCGGGCTCAAGTGTCCTAGGTCTTAAATTTAGCGAAATTAGCGGAAAATAATAAGGGCTGACTTTTAAAACCGAGGAACTCTGTTTTCGTCGAAGGCATTTTCCTATTCCCAGAGGTTTTAAGGAGAAAATTAATTTTTGAAAATTTTTAGGGGTTGTACCAAGTTTTTGGAGGTTGTTCTGTAAAAGAAACGCGGCAAGGAAGACGACGCCTCGAAGTAACAGAATAGGAAATCAACCTTGCGAACGATTCAAAATCCGTGTTTCCGCGGCAAAACTTGGCGCATGCGTATACGTTATTCAGCTCTGTCGAGTACACAATGTTTCCTGTCCTGAGAATGGCAACAAGTTAAAAAATAGGATTGTATCAAAACTATTTTTCAACTTAGGTGATGAAACCAAACTATCTCTCTTTGGCTTTCCTCTTCCGTCACGCTAATGGTCACACAAGCAACAGGCTCCTAAGGTCACAGTTCTTTGATCATTTTTTGACACTGCAGGCAAGACTGCTCCGATATCTGATGACTTGTAATGTCAAGTGCGACGAAACCACATTTTTTGTAAAATTCAACAGCATTTAGAGAAGAATTCACCTTAACGCGTACGGCTCCATATTCCTTTGCTCTGTTCTCGAGTTCCTTTACCAGCGCTGTTCCAACCCCCTTTACGCCGCAGTCAGGATCAGCAAACAGTCCCCTGATCTGCATAGCTTTTCCGTCAGCAGTTTCATTCGAATCTGCTTCTGTAAGTGTATCTGCAATTAGATGACCAAACCCCACAACTCTTCTGTCCCGAGCGATCTCGGCCACTATAATTTCATTCGCTGCTATAAAAGGTAGATACTTCGCTTTTTCCTGCCTAGCAACCCAAGCAGAAACATCTTCCGTGCTATAGCGGGTAGAACATTTCTTTTTGATGGCTTCAGTGTGGATTCTGTAAATGTCCTCCGCGTCGGTTTCGATCGCGTTTCTAATCCTAAAGGTCTCCATTTTACTCCGCGTCAGCAATCTTATCTGAACAGCGGTTGACAAATCCCACAGTGCTGTTCGAGTTAAAATTTAAAGATGGCCGACTTAGTGATGTCTGGCAATATTACAAAAACGTAAATGTAAGAGGACATTTGAAGTTGTTTAAAGAGTCAATCACCTTATATTTCAAGAAGCAGCGTTGGGGTTGTTTTGAAGTTTCTCGCTAATCAGCTATAAGAGTTAGCATGGCTGATGTGACGACGTGGGTTTCCGACAAATTGCACGATGTGTTGGGTTTTTCTGATAAGTACACGGTGGAATTCCTGATTGGACTTGCCAAAAATTCCTCTAGTGTTGAATCTCTCGTACAAAAAGTGTCAGAAGTAGACAACAAGATGGCTTCACTTGCTCAGGAGCTGTGGTCGAAGCTACCACATAAGACACAGCCAGTTGAACACCCGTACAGGGCGAAGGAAAGAGCTATTCTTGAAGAGAGAAAGAAGTTTCAGGGTTATGCATTGGTGTCTGATGACGAAGAAGAAGAAGAAATGAACAAAGCTAAGGCATCTCAGAAAGATAGGAAACGGAAGCATCTGCGGCGGAAAACAGAATCGTCTAGCTCTGATGAAGACTCTCCTGCTGTTGATTCACGAGTTTCAAAGGACGTTGGTAAAGAGTCTGAATCAGATGAGTGGGAAAAGGAAGAAGAGGAAAGGAAGAGAGACTTGGAAGAGAGGGATGCCTTAGCTGATAGACTGAAGAAACGTGATAAGGAAAAGACTAGGAATATAATGGAGAGATCAGACAAGAAGGTACTGTTTACACAGGGGGGATAATGGAAGTCCACTTCCAACATCCAACTATAGAGTGAAGCCAAGTGCAAAGCCTCTTTTTGAAAAATGAGCTTCATTTGAAAAAACAAAACAAATCATTGTAACATTAAAGGCTTTGCACATACACTCATTTTTACAAGAAGGAGGGGAGGCTTCTGGGAAATGGTCAGTACTGCTGGGCAGGGATTTTAGTAACTTTTTGCATAAGTGGCTGCAGATGGTGTGATACATGGCTATGCTGTAAGGCAAAGCACAAACATGAGGCCAGTTCACAGGCAAAACAGGTGACAGTGAGAGGTCTCACGCCAGTGGTAGACAGCCAATAACTGGTTTTTATCGAAACCCTTGGTTGGAAATGATTTATTTGATGAAAGTATTCACCTTTTTTTTTTTTTTTTGTGTGCACTATAGTTAATTTTGACCAGCATGTTAAGTATTACTTACTTTGAAGTCCCAGCCATGCATGCTGATGTGTGAATTTGGATTTTCAATATCTTATATATTTAGTCAGTACCTCAAAATTTCTGCAGATCTCTATGTTGTTTTTTCATTTTGTCAGCTTCTATGAAAAAATACTTGTAATAGCTGAATTTTTATTTTATGAAATTTAGGATAAAATAATTGACATGCCAACAAGGGACTAAGAGGTGGACCTTGTAACTCTCTAGTTTATTCTGGAAATCCTCCAGCTGAATTCTATTGTTTAAAGCTGATATTATTATTCATTAAATTTTAGCATTGTGCACTTTGTTAGCCAAATATTATCTATCTTTGAGCTGGCTGTTGGTCATTAATCTGTATAAAACATGGGGAGAGACCAAGTATTTGCATAGAAGTCGGCCTTCTGTTCATAGAATGTGCATTACAAATAGTTGGTGGTTTATTATTTAATTTTTATTCAATCCTTTGATCCCATTAAGGTGACCAGCATCTTATTTCTCCTTACAACATCACTCTTGGGTCACAGATAAACGTTGTGAGAATAAAGGATACGATCGCCAACTTTATAAGCTCTTGGTTATTACACAAATTTTCCTCGTCAACACCATAGGAAATGTATAGAGAACACTATTTATGCATACTGATGTTAGGGTGAAAAGGGTTAAGTTTGTCTGTTTTCTACTCTCAAGGCTTTTAAGGAGGCAGCCAAAAGACTTAAAGTGGATGAGGAGGACAGAAAGAAAATGGTGAGAGATTTTGACCTATCAGCTGTAATTTATTTTTTAAAAGTTTGGCAATATACTGAGGTCACTAGTAGTGCTGCTGAAGTAATTCTTTTGTCCTACTGGCAGATAAGGTAGACAATTGTTGGAACTTCTGAGTTTGACAATAGATATTGAGCCACACTAGTTAATCTGGTTCAGAGCTGAAGGAAAAGTAATGTTTATCTCATTTCACTATTTTACAAACTGCATTATAATTCTTTTCAGGTTCCTGATTTAAGGAAAAAGTCTCGCCGAGATTATGTTAAAAAACGGCGGGTGGACAAGCTTGAAATGCTTCAAGAGGACATTCTTGATGATGAATACTTGTTTGAGGATGCTCAGATTTCAAAAAGAGAGAAACAGGATCGAGAATATAAGAAAAAGGTTTACCATTTAGCAGTAGAGCATGCCAAGGCTGGAGAATTGGAAAAAGTACAGAGATACGAAATGCCACAGGAAAATCAGAAGCCTGCCAAATATGATGAAACCACAGTGGAGGAACTGGGACCTAATTATGAGCAGAAGAAATGGGAGGAGGACAAACTTGGTTATGCTGTCATGAAATTTGGTGCTAAAGATGCAAGGGACAAGAACAAGGTACACAAGGAGGGGAGGGGGAGTGGGGCTCATTGTTGTTCCAAGACTCAATTAAAGTGAGGTTTGTGTATTGCAATGATCAAGGCTGTTCTCTCGCTGCGCCTGGTGGCCCCTGGCGCCTTATTTTTTCTCTTGGGCGACTTGGAAATTTTAGTTTTTTCGTACAAAGCATATGCTGGGCACCCTGGATTTCACAGTTTCAGAGCACTGGGCTCCATTCAATTTTCCTTAGAGCACAGCCTTGAATGATGCATCTGCATTTTAATGGCCTTGACAGCCAGCATGTTTGAAATGATGCACATGTAAAATATATATATTTTTTTGCAGTGACCAATATTGATGTTATTTAATTTTACTATTTTTAAACTTCTTATTTTCTGCACATGTAGAAAAAGGATTATGATCTTGTTGTGGATGAAGATCAGATTAATTTTGTAATGGCTGAACAGATTCCTGGGACAAAAGAGAAGCAGGTGAGGTCTACAGCTGTACAATTTTCTTTATCTTGAAAAATATTTCATTACCTAGAAGTAAAAATGAAGAAGAAATGAAGATTTCCATTTTGTTATTATATGGTTGAATTGCAGGAACCAGAGATGAATGACTATCAGAAGAAAAGATTAACAATTGAAGAGGTAGTTTAAATCTTTGATATTTATATGAAGTAGTCTTTTGTGATCTGTTGATTGGTTTGAATGCTTCTTAAACACAAAGGCGCGCTATAAAAGGAGCCTTAGGTCCTACTGGACCATCTGTCAATCAACCGTCGTGTGATGTAGAACTCTTAAAGTCAAGTCAGCTTGAGCTACAGCTACTCCAAAGCAATGAAGAGTGGGCGCATTCCTCAAAATTGTTTTATGTCTTCATCACAATACAAGAATTTTTGAGATTTGTATTACCTTTCTCCAATGGAAACTGTCTTTATTTTTGGCGGTAAATTTGAGATCGAAGTAGGTTGTTCGCATGTTACCTCATGCCACCATGCTGGTGGAAGTGAAAAATAGATATCTCATTAGCTCTTTTTGTTCGTCTACCAGCATTTTAAATTGGACCCGCACACGTCAACGGTGAGTGACAAATGAGCCTAGGTCTTCCCAGGGAAGACTTCCTTATATAGCGCGCCTTCGTGTTTAAATGATTTCATTAACTGACTGATGGATTGACTGACTAAGTGGAATGTGCATGTCAGTAATTGTTGTTTTGTTAGGCAACACTATTTTGTTGAATGTTTACAGACTAAAAAAAGTTTACCAGTTTATCCATATAGAGAGAGCCTTATCCAAGCCATCAGAGATCATCAGGTAATTACATTGTTGAGTGAAGGATTCAGACTTATGTATTAGTTTTTAAAGATCTACTTCATTCTTTTGGCAAGCTTTTTTGAGGGGTTGTTCATCTGATTCCAATGTTTGAGATGAACATGATAACAACACAGAGTACTTGTACTTTGACAATAGTTTCTCTCCTTTAAACCTCTGGGTAATGTGCCTAGCACCAATACAAGGCTATCCAAGCACTATCAGCTGTAAGGTTCATGAACCACAGGGCGTGTAGTGTTAATAAGAACTGGCCATCCATACTTTTTGATTTTGAAGGAAATCTTTGTCACCTTGCAGACAGATTTGTCATTTTCAACATCGACCAAAATACCTTTTTCCATGGTAACAAATGAGAGTATAAACCAGGCTTAGCTTTTGAGCCACTGCTCACTCAAAGAAAGTTCACCCCTTTGGTTGCATCAATCTGGTTCTGTGCACAAATACCTGGCAAGGGAGGCTGAAACAGTTTGACCACATCTTTCATCTAAATGCTTATCAATGACTGAGTGTAAAAACAGCCCTTTTAAACCCCTAAAAATGACTAGCGTCTAATTTCCCCTTACAATGTCACCCCAGAATCAAATATCAAGATCTTGAGAATAAAGAAATATCAATCAACAACTTAATAAAATCGTGATTGTTAAACAAATTCTCCTTGTAAGCATCATAGACATAGGAAATTGTATGAAGAACAGTGTGGTTAAAACTGGTATGCATACTGAAGTTAGGGTGTAAACGGCTGAGATGCTCATTGTGACTAATTGTTTTTAATTGCAGGTTATTATTATCGAAGGAGAGACAGGTTCAGGAAAGACCACTCAAATTCCGCAATTCCTTCATGAAGCAGTATGTCCAGTGTTCATTCCTCACTATTTAAAATACATATATCTTATTAACCAAGTGCGAGGGCGGTACTGGGAGAATATCAGCCTGAGGTCTTGACAGTACGGACCGAGCGCAGCTCGGTCCGTACAAAAAAGACCGAGGGCCAATATTCTTCCAGTACGGTCCTGAGCAAGCTTGTTTATCCATATAGAGAGAGCCTTATCCAAGCCATCAGAGATCATCAGGTAATTACATTGTTGAGTGAAGGATTCAGACTTCTGTATTAGTTTTTAAAGATCTACTTCATTCTTTTGGCTAGCTTTTTTGAGGGGTTGTTCTTCTGATTCCAATGTTTGAGTTGAACATGATAACAACACAGAGTACTTGTACTTTGACAATAGTTTCTCTCCTTTAAACCTCTGGGTAATGTGCCTAGCACCAATACAAGGCTATCCAAGCACCATCAAATGTAAGGTTCGTGAACCACAGGGCATATAGTGAATAAGAACTGGCCATCCATACTTTTTGGTTTTGAAGGAAATCTCTGTCACCTTGCAGACAGATTTGTCATTTTCAACATAGACCAAAATGTCTTTCTCTACGGTAACAAATGAGAGTAGAAACCAGGGTTAGCTTTTGAGCCACTGTTCACTCAACAAAGTTGAAGGAAGCTCACCCCTCTGGTTGCATCAATCTGGTTCTGTGCACAAATACCTGGTGAGGGAGGCTGACGCAGTTTGACCACATCTTTCATCTAAATGCTTACCAATGACTGAGTTTAAAAGCAGCCCTTTAACCCTAAAAAAGACCAGTGTCTAATTTCTCCTCACATTGTCACCCCAGAATCAAATATCAAGATCTTGAGATTAAAGGAATATTGATCAACCACTTAATAAAATCATGATTGTTAAACAAATTCTGCTTGTCAGCATCGTAGGAAATGTATGAAGAACGGTGTGGTGAAAACAGGTATGCATACTGAAGTTAGGGTGTAAAGGGCCGAGAGGCTCATTACGATTAATTGTTTTTAATTGCAGGTTATTATTATCGAAGGAGAGACAGGCTCAGGAAAGACCACTCAAATTCCACAATACCTTCATGAAGCAGTATGTCCAAAGTTCATTCCTTACTATTTAAAATACACACTGGTGTTTATAAAAGTAAATATATCAAATGTTTATAGGTGTGCTTTTATGAGCAGTTGTAACGTGAGGTTGCAACTCTTGTGTATGTGTCCTTGTGATTGTCATGGAGTTTTACAGTGGTTTATCATGTTAGTTCTGAGGAGGAAAAAGAGGCTACAGTGCTTGACTGCATCATGACAGGCTGTACTTAGGTAACTTGTTAATAGACAGAGTATCACAAATAAATGATGCTAAATAATGAAATGCCCTCTCAGGAGAACTGGATATGAAGAAATTCTGGAAATAAAGAAAGTGGGAGAAATTCCATGCTTTGACTTGGTTGGATCCTGTGCCACCCAAGTTCTGGCTGAGTGCTACTGCAATCTGCCTTATAAGGCCAAATTTTGTGAGCAAGGCACAGTGTAGCTAATTTTGTAGAATAGCCTGCAAATAATGCCATCTTTCTTTGCTGCCAGCCCATGGAGTGTTCTTTGCCCCTCCTTACGCGGCAATCCATAGTAAACAGAATCGAAAAGATTAACAAACATATCGGGCATCTCCAGGGGTGAATGTACCACACATTTTTTAGCTGAACTCCTGGAATCTTTTCTTTTTTAGGGTTTTACCAAGGGTAAGATGAAAATTGGGTGTACTCAGCCTCGACGAGTTGCAGCAATGAGCGTCGCAGCAAGAGTATCTGAAGAGATGGGTACAAAACTAGGAAATGAGGTACAGTTTGAACCGTAAAAAGGAAAAAATATAAGCAAAACTGTAGTTTAGTGGTTATCCGCAAATGATTGCAGATATTCAAAACTTCAACTTTTTGAAGTACATTGTACTTCAGAGACATTCTATCCTTTTTCTAGTAGATGTGCATATTCATTCTACATTAAATTTTGTTGCCCACATCTCTTTTTTCTCTTAAGATTTTTATTCTTTTTTCAGGTTGGATACAGTATCCGTTTCGAAGATTGCTGTTCAGAGCGAACCATAATAAAGGTAGGATTTTTAACCTTTCAACTCCCACAAGTGACCAACATAAAATTTCTTCGTACATTATTAATAGCGGGACTCTCACGCGCGCAAAGCGCGCGTGGGGTAGAGCCCCATACCCATGGAATATGGTCAACCTCTTTTCGTTTGGTTGTCACGTGACTGACCGAGCGTACGTACGTGCCTTCAAATTGCACGGGTAGGGTAGGGGAGACCATCAAAACGAAGGGAGTGGTGTCTCAGGCGAGTCTTGGCAAATGCACATCTTTTATGTTATCATTAATATTACGAACTTGGGAGCTCCGCTTTTAGGCTTGGCTAAATCTATATATTACAATATTAAGCGGACAAGTTATGAGAATAAAGAAAATTATCAGTTGGGTGACCATTAGTTGATCCAATAGCAAATTCTCCTCACTAACATTATGAGAACTGTATGGCAGACAGTAAAGAGAGTTGCTAATGAGGACTTACTGTATTGTCATCGAAATGTGTAACCTTGCAGTACATGCGTTCTTCATTTCTTTCTAAGGAGAACGTATCAAAACAATGGTTTAGAAACAGCAAAACAGATGTATCTTTTATAAAAATTGCTACTGACGTTATGAAGCACAAGTTTGAAAGAATAATACCAGGGTAATGTTCTTTTAGCAGTGGAAATTCCAGTTTACGTATTGATGAAGTTATAATACGGTGAGGAGATAAAAGTCTCACTGAGAGTGGATCTCAAGTGAGTGTCGTAAAACCTTAACAAAAGTTATCGCAACCGCCAATCAGAAGAAAAGGAAATATCGCACGAAGGCGATGTGTATTCAAAATAATAAAAAAAAAGCAAACTGCCTAAAGCGCGACACAACGCGGGAAACCAAGACGCGGCTGGTTTTAATTTTGCATTTGATTGGTTGAAAGGGTGGCGCGAGTTTTTAGACCAGTCACAGAGCGAGGTAAAGCACCTGGTTAGCTCAATTGGTTAGAGCGCCGGATTGTGTTGTGCGGGAGGTCGAGGGTTCGAGCCCCGGCCGGACCAATACTCGTGGTCTTAAAATAAGTGAGGAGAATGTGCTACCTTTCTATGATATCAAGAAATGGATAGATATTCTAGTCTTCTCGGA